CTCACTAGTTTGTTAACATCTGATTTCAATGTCCTTTTTAACCAGAATCAACTTTGTCATTATCTTTTGAAGTCATTGCCTTGGCTTTGCTCTTACGGATCAGAAAAAATTGGGATTCATTTCAGGTGGTTGGGATGCGTATATGTGTTGGAGGGCAGCCTGGTGGCTGGAAGCTTGAAGCAGAAGTGTGTACACTTGCCTGGGAATCAGGCACGTATGCCGCTTACTAATTGGATGCAAACTAATTAACTTCTCTAGGCATATTAAACTAGATATTCTTTAGGTCGTCTCTGACTTTATTCAAATGTTCTAATCAAAATGATTAAGACATTTGACCTCATTTAGGAACTGAGAGCAGCATTGGACATACAGGAAGAGAGGGAGTAAAGTTGCTTTTATCTTCTTAGAAAGACTCGCACATACAGCTTAATGTCAAATCATCCAGAGGATTAGCTGTAGGCTGGGTATATTCTATGGACACACATGCCTTGTTCTTAATTGCATCTTCTGTTTCTTTTGTTTTACAGTTGCAAATGAGGCCGGAGACAAAAATGCCAGACCTCTTGCCCGCTTCTCCCGTGAGTAAATCTGACTTTTTCTGGGCTGCTTCATAACACACTCCCCAGGAGCCTTTTCACCTGCGTGGCTCACCACTGTGACCCTGCCATACAGTCCCTGTCAATAGAACAGTCATGTAGGAAAGGCCTTCACCTGGTTCATAGTTCATTTGAGCCCCATCATGGGTGAGCTATACATTGCCTTTTCAATCCTTAAAAACCAATTGCCATTGAGTTGATCCTGACTCATGGCAACCCCATGTGTGTCAGAGTAGAACTGTGCTCTGTAGGGTTTTCAGTGGATGATTTTCGGAAGCAGATTGCCAAGTCTTTCTTCCAAGGCACCTCTGGGTGGATTCGAACCTCCAACATCTTGGTTAGCAGTTAAGTGCTTTAACTGTTTGCACCACCCAGGGACTCCTTTCAGTCCTTAGAACTGTGATTTTCAAACTGTGCTCTAGGGCCTTGCTATTCAAAATGTTGTCCTCAGAGTGGCAGGATTGACGTCACCTGGGGGCTTATTAGAAATGCAGGACCTCAGGCCCCACTGCAGACCTGCTGAATCAGAACCTGTATTTTAACAAGATTCCCAGGTGGTTCCTGTGGAATCCCCAAAGAGTGCACTGCAGTGGGACAGCTTTTATGAGGATAAATTGACAAAGGGTATGTGAAATGCTTGTAGCATCAAGGTCTAACACATGTACAAGCATCATACCACCCAAGGTGGATTCATGAGATTTCCAGGATGTCGCCCCAGTTTGAGGACAGTTTGAGGATCAAATAGATGGAATGGTTTTCCTCAGGCTCTGGAACAATCGGTTGGCTGTGGAGCTCCCCATCAATTTCACTTCATCCCAGTGAGATGAGAGAGAGCAGGAGTCAAAAGCCTCTTGAAGTTTTCTCTGCCATTATGATCAGCAAATTCTACAGCAAGTTAATGCACTCCCTGGATTGAAAACCCAGATCCTAATGAAGGGAGTGGAAATACTAATGAGATTGAGGGGTGTCCG